AGCAATCGGCTCTTTTGGCTGGACGGGACATTACAGATAACATATTGTTGACTCAGGATCTATGCCAATTCCTGAACAGGAAGGTTGTAGGGGACAACAATATCTTAAAGGTGGATATGATGAAGGCGTTTGATCGCGTTTCCTAGTCCTTTTTGTCTCAGGTTTTGGCAAAGTTCGGTTTCTTGCAAGGTTTCATGGCTTTAATTTTGAATAACTTACGTGGTAGTTGGTTTTCTATTTTGATTAATGGTTCTCCTGCTGGATTTTTTCAAACTACTCGGGGCATAAAGTAAGGTGATCCTCTCTCTCTGTATTTGTTTATCCTGGTTTTGGAAGTTATGACCCGAAAATTGAATGCGCTCCGTTCTTCTGGGAATCTTGCGACCTATGGAGTCCCGGTGGGGGCTCAAGTGGTCTCTCATTTAAGTTTTGCTGATGATTTGATTATCTTCACCAAGGGCCTGCAGAGATCATTACGTGGCTTGAATGAGTTTTTTAGCACTTATGAAAAGGCTTCTGGTCAGAAAATGAACTGGCAAAAAAGTTTTTTCCTTGTTGCTAGTGATTGCCGAGCAAGTCGCATTGAAGTTTTTAAAGGAATTTTAGATTTGCCAAAGGGTTCTTTTCCTTTTACGTATCTAAGTTGCCAGATTTACAAGGGAGAGTCAAGTCTGAGACCTTTCAATTTCTGTTGGATGCAATTGATAAAAAGATTGTAAACTGGAAGAATAAATTACTAAGTTCTGCTGGCTCTTCATTAAGCATGTTATGAGTGCCATTCTGACACATGTTTTTGCAGCTATTCCTCCTCCGAAATCTGTGCTTAGGGCTATTGAAAATAGGTGTCAGAATTTTCTTTGGGGCGAGAAATCTGGAGTTAAAAAAAGGCATTGGAGAGCGTGGGATGGTCTTATCTATCCCATAGTGGAAAATGTGCGGGTTTAAAAGGATTTGAGACAATCATAGATGCTTTTTCTGCTTAACTGTGGTGGAAGGTGAAACGGGGAATTGGGCCATGGACCAGGTTTTTGCTTTCTCTGTCTGCTATAGCAAGAAAAAGGACCTCATGAAAACGTGTAGTAGGGATACATCTCCGTGCTAGTGTTCATTCAAAAATCTTAATTTGGAGTGGTGACAGTTCTTTCTGGCATGACAATTGGATTCCTACGGGGATTCTCTGGGATGATATGGTGGTATCTCCTCCTAGACCTAATCTTACTATCCAGCAATTTTTTCACAGAAGGCAAGATTTCCTGGCAGAATTTGCTCCTGTTTTGCAAGTGGAGGCTTTAGCGCTGCTTAACTCTTTGGAGCTTGAATTTGTGAGGAGCCGGATATCCGCATCTAGAAACCATGCAAGACCAGCGCTTTTTCCATTAAAACAGCCTATGAACAGTTTAGGAGGAAGCTGAAGGAGCCTCTGCTGAAAACTATATGGAACCGGCGACTTTCCATACGGATCTCTCTCTTCATTTGGAGATTGAGGAATTTGTTGCTACCTTTTCCGAAAACCTTACGCAAGATTAGTTTGCAGGTGTACTCTTTTGTTTGTCCTTTTTGTAAAGTTTCTAATGATGGAATTTATCATTGTTTTTTTGGGTATCCTTTTTCTCATAGAGTGTGGGGTTTGTTTGCTCAAATGTTTGATGTATGCTTGCTTGATGTGCAAACCCTAGATCATGTTCTGATTGCTTGGTGGTATAAGGGAGATTTTTCTACTGCCTTAAAAACTTTGAGGATGTTGGTTCCTTCCTTGATTATTTGGGAGCTGTGGGAGTTGCGCAACAAGGTCTTATTTGAGGGGGTGGTTGCTTCGGATCATGTGCTAGTTTGCAAAATTTACAAATCATGTCTCTGATATTTACGGGTACATGTGATGCCAAGCAAATCAATGGCGGAGTTGGAGTTTTTGGAAAGGCATTTTCATGTACAGAATGGTAGGGTTTTGAAAAGAACTTACATCCCTGTGTGTTGGATGCCGCCACTGGAAGGGTCTTTTATCTTGAACACGGATGGTTCTTCAAGAGATCAAGGTGCTGGCTATGGATTCATAATTTGTGGAGGGGGAGGTATCTTTGTTTATGGTGAGTTGGGTTTTCTGGGTGATGTTGATAATTTTGAGGCGGAAATTGCAGGTTTGCTATTTGGTTTGAGAAAATGTGAACATTTGGGTTTGCATCCGGTTCTGGTACAGACTGACAATAAGGTACTAGTGGAGCTATTGAAGAAGGGTCGAGATTTTCCTTGGCAACACATCTCATCTCTTTCTGAAACTCTGGCAATATTGGATAGGCAGTTTTATTCTACAGAGCATCTTTATCATGAAGCTAATGCGATTGCAAACAATTTGGCGAAGAGAGCTTCTGACGGCTTATGTCAAGTTTTCACATCTCTGAAAGATCTTCCAATTGACACCAAGAGGCTAGTGATCCTGGATCAAGGGCCTTTCCATATGTTCGCATTAGAATCATATAGTTCCTCAACTTTTGTTGTACTATAACAGACAGTAGGATTTAAGACGTTTTGATACATCATTTTTTCTGTAACTCCCAAGGGTCAGTTAGATGCACTGCTCTTGGACACTATTTTTTAATTGGAATAAAAACTAGGAATCCCTAGACTATCGACGGGGATTTTTTTTTTCAAAAAAATAAATAAATAAATAAATAAAACACAAAATAATTTCTTTCCCCCAATTCGAGATCGCAAGGCAGAAAATATTATTGAAATGGGTACAAAGTTTAAATTTTGGATTTTCTTTCTTCCCCAGTTCGACTAAAATTCATGGACACCGGAATCAACCTCCGCTGCCGACACCATCGGTCACATCTCAGTGTACTGGGCACTAAATTAAACAAACTATGTGCCAAAATCTTCCTCCTGATGAGATTTGAAATGCCTAGAGTACAATTTATTCATTAGCTAATCGAAATGGGACGGCGAAATTTGCAAACCAGAAACTTTGTCCCCCAGAATTTTCACAGTCACCACCTCCCTTCCCACTTTCTCTCTTTCATAGCCGAAATCCCATTTCACCAACTACACTAAAATCAGAGAGCTCTTCATAGAAAAGAGGCAATTGGAAGAGGGGTTTCGATTTCAAAAGAATTTAGGTTAGCTTTGAATTTTTTAAATTACAATTGGTAGCTTTTCATCGGTGATAGACTAAGGTTAAATAAAACCATAAAATTATGCTTACAGCAGAAATTCATACTTGGTATTAAATATACGAATTTTTATTTGTTTTAATGTGGTAAAAATTTTGTTTAGGTTTGGTTTGTGTTATTTTATTTGAAAAATTTATGATGCCGTGATGATTGAAAAATTGGTGATGATGGCTTTGTGGTAGTGGTGGTGATGCTCTATTGTTGTTTAACGAAAGAGTGGTGTGAGTAATGGTTTTGGGGGTTTTTTCTTGTGAGGGAGTGGCGATGGTGGAAAGATTTGTGGCGATACTGGTACTAGTATGGAAATGGTTGTGGTGTTAGGTTTTATTGGTAGTTGTGGTTGTAAGGATTGCAAGGGCAGTAAAAGGCTGGAAATTTTTTTAAAAAAATAAAGAATACTTTATAAAACAATGTTAAGAAAATTTATAGCCGAGAGAGTAAAAGAAGATGAAAAGTTAAAATAAAGAAGGAAAAAATATTTTTAATGAGCTGGACCCACAAGAGGTGAAAATGAAAAAAAACTTAAATTTAAAGTTTTTATATGTTTTCTTAATTTTATTTTTAAATAATATTTATTATTATTTATTTATTATTATTATAATATGTATTTTTTATATATATGGTACCCCTGACATGTGCAGGTCCAACAGTCGTCATGATGGAACTCGGGACAGAAAAGTGAAAATGATCTAAAATAGTTTCAAAATGAAATCTAAAGACTCACTCCATATACATGTTGATTTAGAGGACCAAATTAAAATTAGGTCAAATGTGGAGGACCATTTATACAGTTCAATCAACTTTTAGTATGTGTTCAAAGAAACAAGATTTAAGATCCTTAAAAAAGAGTAGGTTGTCACAATTTTTGAATACTATTTTTAAAAGAGGAGTTGTAGTCCTCACCGAATTTGGTATTTTAGAAAAAAAGAGTAAATACTAAATTGTTGGCCATCCCTATGAAACCAAGTTTTTCGCCACAATCATTCTTAAATGTTGCAATAATGTGGAGTTTATACCTATTTATGGATTTAATTTTATTCCCTTTGATGGGATAGTAGGTGATAGTGTGAAACCAATACTTCTGGTGATATAAGCATCCTAATGTTTGACTATTATTGTTAAATAGGGTTTACTTACACAAAAACATTGAGGTCTAAATAAGGGTTTTATGATATATTGTATTATTGTGTTTACACTTCTAGATATTGACAAAATTCTTGGTGTTGCTGATGATTTTCAATGATGTCAAAAGAATGGTAAATAAATTTGAATAGTGAATTTGGAGTTAGAATATTTGAATTAAGTATCTTCTTATCTAAACAATCACATTTTTAATACACCAAATTCAAACTAAATTGGTGTGTACGCTCTTGGATAAGCATGCTAATGATGCGAATTCTTTCCTTGTTGATTGTACGGGTAGCTTTTTTTTGGTCACACAATTTGAAAAATTCAAAACTTGTAAGAGTATCTACTATAATTTTGTACTATTGACTTGAATTCTCGTTTTCCATGCTATGGGATTTCAGGGCAATATGAAAAGATTTTGAAAATCTAAATTTATGTCGTGAATTGATCACTTTGGCTTTAGATTTGTATTTTCCTTTTCAGCTTATTCACATTGAATTTTATTTCAAGGATTTTTTTTGGGGGGGGAAGGGGAGGGGGAGGGGTTCACATTTAAGATGTAACCGCCCAGTGGTTATGATTATGAATTTGTTTGGAATCATGAAAATCACACTCACCGTGAGTGGCTGGCCTTAAGTAAGGAACGCCATTATGACTCCCGACCGCGTATAAGCAGAACGAAAGAAGAAGAATTAGAGTCAAACTTTAATATGACGGTATCCAAAAAAAAGGGTAACGAGGATTAAACCGTTCCCTCTGAAGATTAGGCATCCCATCTATGAATGCATGTGCGTAAAGGGATTCATTGATGAGACGGCGGCTCAGTGGCAAGATGTGCCATCCTGGGGTTAAAAATAACTCACCATTGATAGGGTGTTGATGCCTGAGCAGGTTGGTTGCTAGGATGATATCTGCAACACTTTGAAGCTGCAGATATGGATGATTCTGCGGAATGTGAAATGCTCCCCTCAGTTGATTATACATTTCCATATAATTCCCGAGCACCTCAACATACTGCTTGACTTTGGCCTCCACGTTGGGGTCGATTGGCCATCCCATTTGCTGCACCAGGATCAAGATGAATTTTGCAAGTGTGTAAACCCAGAAGTATGAATTTCGCAAGTACTCGTACGAGGCCTTAAATGCCATATTTTCACATAAGAGCCTGTCGAAGATTGAAAACGCATAAATTCATCCTCTAATAAGACTGAGATTTCACACAGTAGTTTGAATGAAAAATAAAAGAGAAAAGGAACTTTTGTCTTAGAGGCCCCACAGTAACACACTGGTGTACATCAATAAGATATTAAATGTTCCTTAAGAAAAGAAAAACTACTGCATAAACCAATGTTAAGATTTTCCCTTGAAGCCAAGATACAACTTGCACTAACATTACAATAAGAAACCAGGCAACTCCGAAATGATTCATCTGCTGATAGAGAAAAAGCAAACAATGCCATGTTATGCATTTAACGGCAGACACCATAACAATTAGCTCGATGGTTCGACAACTAACCCAGTAAGACAGAGTTTGACAGACTCTTTCAAGTTGTCAGTACCACAAAGAAGACCATAAAATTATGCTTGCAACAAAAGTTCATACTTGGTATTAAATATACTAATTTTTATTTTTTTTAATGTGGTAAAAATTTTGTTCAGGTTTTGTTTGTGTTATTTTATTTGAGAAATTTATGATGTGGTGATGATGGCTTGTGGTAGTGGTGGTGATGATCTATTGTTGTTTAATGAAAGAGGGGGGTGAGTAATGGTTTTGCGGGGTTTTTTGCTTGTGAGGGAGTGGCGATGGTGGAAAGATTTGCGGCAGTACTGGTACTAGTATGGGAATGGTTGTGGTATTAGGTTTTATTGGTAGTTGTGGTTGTAAGGATTGCAAGGAGGATAAAGGCTGGAAATTTTTTTTATTTTTAAATAAACAATATTGTATAAAACAATGTTAAGAAAATTTAAAGCCGAGAGAGTAAAAGAAGATAAAAAGTTAAAAATAAAGATGGGAAAAAATCTTTTTAATGAGCTGGACCCACCGGAGGTAAAAAATGAAAAAAAAATTGAATTTTTTTATATGCTTTATTAATTTTTATTTTTAAATAATATTTATTATTATTTTATTATTACTATAATATGTACTTTTTATATATATGGTACCCCTAACATGTGCAGGGTCAGCGGTCGTCGTGACGGAACTCGGGAAAGAAAAGTGAAAATGGACCAAAATAACTTTAAAACGAAATCTAAATGCTCTCTCCATATACATGTTGATTTAGAGGACCAAATTAAAATTCGGTCAAATGTGACGGACCATTTTTACAATTCAATCAACTTTTAATATGTGTTCAGGGAAACAAGATTTAAGATCCATAAAAAAAGAGTTGGTTGTCACAATTTTTTAATACTATTTTTAAAAGAGGTAGTTCTCGACAAATTTGGTGTTTTAGAAAACAAGAGGAAATACTAAATTGTTTGTCATCCCTATGAAACCAAGTTCTTCGCCAAATCATTCTTAAATGTTGCAATAATGTGAAGTTTATAATTATTTATGGATTCAATTTTATTCCCTGTGATAAGATTGTAGGTGAGAATGTGAAACCAATACTTCTGGTGATATAAGTATCCTAATGTTTAACAAATAGAGTTTACCTACACAAAAACTTTGGGGTTTAAATAAGGGTTTTATGATATATTATATTATTTTGTTTACACTTCTAGATGTTGACATAATTCTTGGTGTTGCTAATGATTTTCAATGCTGTTAAAAGAATGGTAAAGAAACTTGAATACTGAATTTGGAGTTAGAATATTTGAATTAAGTATCTTCTTATCTAACACATTTTCGATGTACCAAATCGAAACTAAATTGGTGTATACCCTCTCAGATAAGCATGTTAATGATGCGAATTCTTTCCTTGTTGATTGTATGGGTCGCATTTTTTCGATCACACAATTTGAAAAATTCAAAAATTATACTTGTAAGAGTATCTACTATAATTTTGTACTATTAACTTGAATTCTTGTTTTCCATGCTATGGGATTTCAGGGCAATATGAAAAGATTTTGATAATCTAAATTTATGTCGTGAATTGATCGCTTTGACTTTAGATTTGTCTTTTCCTTTTCAGAATATTGAAATTGAATTTATTTTTACAATTTTTTTTGGGGGGTGGGGGGCCGTTGGGGGAGGGGTTTAATAGTTAAAATGAATTCGCTGGAATCATGAATATCACACTCAGTGTGAGTGGCTGGCCTTAACTAAGGAACGCTATTATGACTCCCGATCACGTATAAGCTGAAAAAAAGAAGAAGATGACTCTAATCAAACTTTAATACCACGGTATCCAAAAAAAAAAACAAAAAAAAGGGTAAACAAGGATTAAACTTGTCCCTGTAAAGATTAGGCATCTTATCTACAAATGCATGTGCGTAAAGGGCCTCATTGATGAGACGGCAGCTCAGTGGCGAGATGTGTCATCCTGGGGTGAAAAATAACTCACCATTGATAGGGTGTTGATGCCTGAACAGGTTGGTTGCTAGAGTGATATCTGGAACACTGTGAATTGAAGCTGCAGATATGGATTATTATGTGGAATGTGAAATGCTCCCCTCAGTTGATTATACATTTCTGTATAATTGCCGAGTACCTCAACATACTGATTGACTTCGGCCTCCACATTGGGGTCGATTGGCCATCCCATTTGTTGCGTCAGGATCAAGATCAACTCCCGGTTGTCTACCTTGTCCTCAAGTGTGTAAACTCAGAAGTATGAATTCCGCAAGCAGCGGCGGCTCTCACATTAGGAAAAATAGGCAATCGACTAAGGTCTCAGAATTGGGATGGCCCCAGTGTGTGTATCTATCTATCTATATATATACATATATATTACATGTGTGTATATATATATATGTATATTTTTTTGTGTGTGTATCTATGTATGTATGTATATATTGTATATGTGTATATATATATTGGAAAATTTTAGTACAAATAAACATTGACCAATTTAAAAAAAAAAATCGACTACTCGACATTCATATATGACTTTCTTTATTTTATAGAATAATTAAAAGGTATCAATACTTTTTTTGAAAAATACAAAAAAGATGGGTTTGAAAATGCCATAACTTTAACCATGAAATTGGTGTTAAGATGGACATAGAACCTACATTTGAAGAAAAAAGTAAATTCGTAGAAATACGCAGTTTGAAAATGTGGAGAATGAAATCATTAGAACCCCACAAAATATTTTCAAAACTGATTATTTTCTTTACATAGTTAATAGAGTTATCTCATCACTACAAATTTGATTGGTTATCTTATCATTACATAGTTAAACTAAACGAAATTTTTTTTGGTTTTCTATTTAGTTTGAAAAAATTAAAATCACTTGATTACAAAAATTTAGAAAAGAGTTGTTTTAACCTTCAAAACTCCTTAAAACACAATGATAGTTTAGATATTAACGGTTTAGATTTATTTAATGAACTAAAATTTTAAATAAAAATGTAAATGCTAAGAATTATAATCCAATTGAAATATTTAATTATATTAAAAAAATAAATCTTTTTCCAAATACTTGTATTACCTATATGATAATGCTAACTAGTCACGCAACAGTTGCTTCAACAGAACAGAATTTCTCAAAATTTAATTTAATAAAAACTATTTAAGATCAACAATGTCACAATACAAATTAAATAGATTGACTATTATATCAATAGAAAAAGACTTAATCGAAGAGATAGATCATGAATATTTTATAAAAGAATTTGCGACCAAAACAGTTAGAAAAATAAACTTAATAAAAATAATATTTTTAAAACAATGCTAGAAAGATAGACTTAATATGAGTCATATTTGGAATAAAAAAAGTTTTTTACTCCGCCTGCTATAGGCTCATGGGTTTATAGTTACCAGTCTCAAACTCAAAAAAATAAAAAGGGTTAATTTTTTTACAAAAAAAAAAAAAGAAAATTCTTTATTATCGAAAGGCTTCGATTTCCAATTTTGCCGTAGGCCCCCAAAAACCTTGAACCGCCCTTGTCCCCGTACAAGGTTTGGATGAGCATAGAATTACTTGATCTTAATCTACCCGCACTTAATCCAACTTCCTCGATCTGCCACAAGTGGATTAATCCATCTGAACTGATAGTTGCAAAGAGGTGATCATCAGTTGGGCACAAAACACAGACTCCTCAATTCCTTGTCATGCGCTCTGGGCACAAAAATAGACGAGCTCGTCTCACACTTAATATGGCTTCATATCTCAGCCGTTTGTAAGTGAGAAAATAAATCTTGAGTAGCTCCTCTCACATATCGTGCATACCAAAATTGTGCCAACTTATGCTTGTCGTATTCCAATAGCTCTGAGCTATCACTTTCTGCTTTTCATCCATGATGATTTGTTTTTAGAGTAGGGATAGTGTTTGTTATTAATGTATTTAGGTTTTTTTTCCCAACAAATAAGTATAGATGAAATTTTTTTCTGTTATGCCTTTTTTCGCAATATGAAAAGGTTTTGATGATCTTTGTTTATCATATATTAGTCCATTTCGCTTGAGTTATGTCATTTTCTTTTTGGCTTATAGTACCTGGAATTTTTTTTTAGATTTTTATTTTGTTTTATAACAGTTAAGATATAATTGCTTTTGAAAGCCTGCTTTCTGATAACCCAAGGAGTGGTTGTTGTGGTAAGAAAGGGCTTTGAATGGTTCAGCAAGCAAATTATCAACTGGAAACGTGTTCTACCGGCTCAACCAAAGGATGTGAATAAGAATACTCAATATCTCCAAAATATTGATAAACATGTTGAACAAATTTGCAAGATGAAGGATAAAAAGAGGGCCAAACAAGGCAACGGAAAATGGTTTGGTAAATGATGATTAAGGGGTTAGTGGTTGTTATTATTATCTTTAGGTCTTTTTTTCAACAATTTGTGATTTTTTTCCATAAAATCGAAGATTAATAGTGTATTTTGTTGCCTTTTAAATCATATGTTTCTGCTCAAATAATAAATCTTGAACTTAATTTGGTTTTTTACTATACACCTTGATATTATTTACGTGTGTTGTGTGGAAGTTTAATCATCAAAATTTTGATATTAGGCTGCAAAAAAAACTTAGGTTAGTTTTATGACATA